GCTCCCTTTGCTGCCCCTGCTGGCCGCTCTGTGTCACTGCGGCCTGGCGGACAGTCCCCGCCCACATCGCCATGACTACTGCGTGCTAGGGGCGGGGCCGGCAGGGCTGCAGATGGGCTACTTCCTGGAGCGGAGTGGCAGGGATTACATCATCCTGGAGCGGAACCAGCAGCCCGGCAGCTTCTTCAGCATGTGAGCCAGCCCGTCCGGCCCAGGTCCCGCGGTGCCGGCCCGACCTGGCGGGCTCGGGGTCACGCTGCCCCTGCTCTCTCCACAGATACCCCCGGCACCGGCGCCTCATCAGCATCAACAAGCGCTTCACGGGCCGCCAGAACCGCGAGTTCAACCTGCGGCACGACTGGAACTCGCTGCTGAGCGACCGGGCCGGCCTGCTGTTCACCCGGGTCAGCGCCGAGCTCTACCCGCCCGCCAGCAGCCTGCAGGAGTACCTGGCCGCCTTCGCCCGCGAGCTGCGCCTCCGCGTGCGCTACGGCACCGACATCGCCCGCGTGCACCGGGCGGCCAGAGGGGGCGCCACCTTCACCCTGAGCGACCAGGAGGGGCAGGACTACTCCTGCAGGTGAGGCAGAGGAAGAGCAGGGCTTGTCCACTCTGGGGGGGCTGGGAGGAACTGGGGGTGTTGGTAGTGTTGAGGGGACTGGAGGAACTGGGGGCGAGTGGGGACCCACCTGTTCAGTGGCGGTTCTGTTCCAGAGTGGTGCTGGTGGCCACCGGACTCTGGGTCCCGCAGGAGGTGCGGTTCCCAGGCTGGGAGATGGTGGAGGGGTACGAGTCCATGCCAGTGGACCGGAACCAGTTCTTGGGCCAGGCGGTTCTGATCCTGGGGAAGGGAAACTCTGCCTTCGAGACGGCCGCCCACATCCTGCCCGACACAGCCCGCGTGCACCTGTACAGCCCGAGCCCGGTCCGACTGGCCTGGCAGACACACTACGTTGGAGACCTTCGGTAATCAGCTGATCAAAAGACACTGAATCCCTGATCCTGCATGAAC